AACAAATTTCATATTAATTATACTTGCCATCCCTGGAACTAAAAGAAATCTCCATTTACTGGGTATTACTATTATCAACCAGACATCAATTGTCATAAAAATATGTACATACTACATGCCTACCTAGTAATAAAATATAGTACATAGGTAATATTTTAATTTATAATAAGAGCTAGGTGCTAAAGGTTTAGTCAAAGCTTACAGCTATTTGAAAACGAAGTCTTACCTCTTACGATTAGATTTTTATCAATGAAATTTGGTTTATCACAAATTATGCCCCACATGTATTATTCAATTTACATATTATTTATTACCTAATTAGTATTACAACATCACTGTGACTAAATTGAAACACAAAGTTCAAAAATTTTATAAATAAAATATTTATTTCATCAAGCCTACAGATTTCTRTGTTTATTTATAAATTATAATCAAATACTGTCAATTTAAAAATATTAATTTTATTAGCTCCCCTCGTCCAAAAAAAAAAAAAATCCTAGGCACTTCTTCGAATATATCGTTACCATACGAGCATACGACGGCAGATATTTGGCAACAGTCGACAATTATTTAGCACTTTAATATTTGTGATTTTTAACTATAATACATTTGACGTTTTTGATTCTGAGCGGAGTAATGTATTGATTTTACCATGATGTGTTTTTTTTTTTTTGTATCATCACGTTTTGGGGCATTAAAAGTGCTTCGATTTTTGACTTCAGTACCTCGTTCGATCAGAAAATAAATAAGTTAATATTTTTCTAAATAATCGGGATAAACAAACCAAAAATTAAGGGGAAAACGGGAAATTTTACGCACAATCAGTTTTCGACAAAATCGATTTTGGTTTTTGATGTAACATTAAAACAAATGACCATGGCATTTTCACCGAATGTTTATATAAGTATATTCTTTCCACCATGCAATTTTCAAAAATTTTCGACTTAAGTTGAACTATTTATAGGTATTTGCAATTTCCGATCATTATTATAGTTTTTTTTTAAATTAATATCGATAAAAATTTATTTGTTCATTGTTGGGTAGAAAAGCTTGAAAATTTAATACAAGGCTCTTAATATATTTTTATAATAGCAGTTGACAAGCAAAAGAAATATACCTATAGTCACAATTTTTTTTTTTATAAGCATTCAAAGTTTGAATTTTGACAACATACGTAAAAATCACGAAAATTCGCAAATTATTTAAAGCTAGAAATTCATAAAAATATTTTTTTTTAAATCTAAGATTTGAAAAT